ACCGCTAGAAAAGAACAACACACTATAAATAAGGCCAAGCCTGTGTATTTTAGTGTAGGAGGGATTTTATTTTGGCCGGGGGAGGGGGGAGGGGTGTTAAATCTGTCTTTTCCACTTTCCCAGCCCGCAGCATGAAACCCACTTATTGCAATCCCATCGCATTGTTTACAGGGAAGTGATACTCCTGTGGGACTCCTACGCTGATTTCCCCCCGGCCCTGCCTTTCCCCCCATCAGATTTACTGACACAAACCACAGAGATAGGTCAGAACTGGGTGCCAGTTGGAAAAAGTCAGCCCTGGCACAAGCGGCTGGAGCTAGAGGCAAGCGAGGGAAACGGAGAAATCAGCATCATAGAATCTCTCTGGGTAATTTCTCACTAAAGAGAGATTAATCTCTCCCCCCGGCCCCTGAGCATCCCTGGGAAGAGTGTGTGTCATATGCTCATTACGCAGGTCAAAATATTAACCACAAGTCCTGGACAGCCAACACATCTCCTCTCCTGCTGCCCTCCAGACTATGATTAATTAATTAAACGCATTGACTCCCACAGGGAAAGGGACTTAACTGAAGGCATAAACAGCCTGGAGAGAGCGGGAGGCCGTACACAAGAAAAGACGACTCCTCTGTAAGCCACTGACCTGGCCACGCTTACAGCAGACAGAGAACAACCCTTGGAACTGAAACTGCAAAGCATACAGGGGGAGAGCGGGTCACAATCTCTGCGGAAATGTGGGGCTTTTTCCCTGATCTAATTTGGCTTTTTTGGACACAACTTGGCTCTTTTGACAGAGTAGAAAGCGTCCATTATGTCAAGAGTTGCCGTCAAAAGCCCCCAACGAATCCCAGCGAAACCCAAGAGATCCCAAAGATTTCCCCACCCCCACAAGGGGAGGAGGTGGCATTTCCTGTCCAGCTCTAGTGGAGGCCGATGGAGGATCAGGCCCTATTCCTCTGGATCTCAGTTCACTGGCAGTAAAAAGGGGAGACTGCACTGTCTGGGCGTGCAGCACCCGGCTCTCAGCCAGAGCCCCACGGGAACGTTAATCATATTAACGAGGGGAAAAAGCGGTATAAGAGTCTAGGCTACTATTTTAGACCTATAAGTGAGCCGTCATTCCCAGGTTATTTAAAGCTAACGGATCATTCCCAGACCAGCCTCCAGGCTGCAGAGGTGCCGGAGAGAAAACAGTCTATGAAAATGTTATACCAAGAACTGCCCAGCATGAAAGCGAACGATAAAGCAGGGAAAAGCGAGCGAAGGAGAGAGCCTGGGGACACAGAGCTGGCAGACGGGCCGGCCATGTTGGTTTGAAGTTAGCATAAAAACACGAGGCTCCAGATACCCCAAGGAGCGCCGTGCGGCATGAGGGCGGGGGTGGGGCGAGAGGGTTTTCGGGATTAGTGCGAGGGAGGGAAGACAGTAACTCACAGGCTCCAGTGTCCGACACGCCAGCAGCACTCACCTCTACCAGGACGCGGAGAGGGCTGACAGCGGCTGGACACAAAGGGAGTCCATCTCGTGCTTCGCTTTGTCGCCGCCGTAACGCTCTGTAGCAACGTCTTGGGCCAGCGTGGGAGCCTGGTTTTCCGAGCGCGGCCCCGCAGCGCTGCCTGTGAATCGGGCCCCAAGTCACCAGGTCCAGGTCTCTGGGCCGCCTCCAGGAGCCGCCTGTTAAACGTGAGAAAGACGTTAGGCGTCGCCCGGCCGGACGTCCCTCTAGTCAGCACCTGAGAGCGGCCAGCAGCCGCTGCGTCTGGGGAAGGTTCTAGAAGCCCCACAACGGACAGAGGTGAGGCCATCGGCCCCCCGGGGCTGGAACAATGTGTGCAGTGGGGGGGCTCAGAGCCATTGAGCCAAACTGAACTAAACCCTGTATGTGACGGAAACACTTCCAGCCAGGGGGTGCGGCAGCCCCCCTAGTGCCAGGGCTATGCTGCTCCCGGGAGAACAGCTTAATCCCTCAGGCAGGAGGTTTTGTTACCTCCCACGCCTTTCAGACTGAAACTCTGGGCATTTTTAGTATCCACACAAACACCCCACTCAGCTAGTTGCTACCGTCCCTGTCCAGGGGTTACAGTTCAGAATTCAGCCATTTTCGCTTACTTGTGTGTGGAAGTCATTTGGTCACAAATAGGAAACAAAATCCAGGCTCCCCTCACCCCCCCAAGAGCGGTTAGAATATTTCCAGTTAACGCCTCCATCCCGTGACGCATTCGCCCTGGTACCTGCTGCGCCGTGACTCGGTTTCTGCTCTTCCAGCTCCAGAGGTTTCAGTCTCTCGCTCTCAGATAGGCTAATTCCAATGCCAGGCGAGGGTTCAGCCCCCAGGACAAACCATAACATCCACCCCCGACGCTCGGGGCACAGACTCCAACAGAGAATTTTTAACTCCTCGCCCTAGGTGAGCTCAGGTCTTTGGGGCCTGCTCTGGGGCTCCCCATCACCCTTGTATCAAGGCCTGACTCCCCAGTTCCCTCTGAGCAGAGGAGCTCTGCTGAGCTCACTCCAGACACGGGGCCTCTCCCAGGCCTTCCCTTCCCAGCCCTAGTCTCCCCTCAGCCTTGTCTTCCTGTTTCTTAGGCCTCATCCCCAGCTGACTGCAGACAGCCCAAACCGGCTGTAAAACCTTCTTAGTCTTACAAAAAGCACGATGTGCTAACGACTTTGCTGCTTGGACCCCTGACCAGCCCAAACCTGCCACCTGGGAGGCTGATAACTAGCCACAGGTGAAGCCCAGAGACTCACAAGCCAGGCAAGAACCAAACCTTCCTTAGCCTTTTACTCTGAGTGTTCACAGCTGGTATAACAAATAGGGCTGGAGACCAAACCGGCTCTGGGCTCTCTGTCATTTGAGGGGTTTCCAGCTTCATTCTGAATGTTGTGGTGTTGGGGAGAGGGGACTCTGACAGCCCTGGCTGCTGGAGTCTTGTGCCGGTGAGAGAACCCCTTTCTGTTTGTCTCTAGCTCTCATGGCTGCAGAGAAAAGTTGGAAAACACAATCTTTAAAAGCTCAAAACACCCAGTAGGCACTTTATTTTATGTTATTCTTGTCATAACTATAAAGGGAAGGGTAACAGCTCTCCTGTGTACAGTACTATAAAATCCCTCCTGGCCAGAGACTCCAAAATCCTTTTCCCTGTAAAGGGTTAAGAAGCTCAGGTAACCTGGCTGACACCTGACCCAAAGGACCAATAAGGGGACAAGATACTTTCAAATCTTGGTGGGGGGAAGGCTTTTGTTTATGCTCTTTGTTTTGGGGGTTGTTCGCTCTTGGGACGAAGAGGGACCAGACATCAATCCAGGCTCTCCAAATCTTTCTGAACAAGTCTCTCATATTTCAAACTTGTAAGTAAACAGCCAGGCAAGGCGTGTTAGTTTCTCTTTGTTTTCTCAACTTGTAAAGGTACCTTTTGCTAGAGTGTTTATCTCTGTTTGCTGTACTTTGAACCTAAGGCTAGAGGGGGGTCCTCTGAGCTCTTTAAGTTTGATTACCCTGTAAAGTTATTTTCCATCCTGATTTTACAGAGATGATTTTTACCTTTTTCTTTAATTAAAGCCTTCTTTTTAAGAACCTGGTTGATTCTTCCCTGTTTTTAGATCCAAGGGGGTTGGATCTTGATCCACCAGGAGTTGGTGGGAGGAAGGAGAGGGGGATGGATCCAAGGGGTTTGGATCTGTATTCACCAGGGAATTGGTGAAGGTCTCTCAAGGCTTCCCAGGGAAGGGAATTAGCTTTGGGAGTGGTGGCAGCGGACCAGATCTAAGCTGGTAGTTAAGCTTAGAAATTTTCATGCAGGCCCCCACATTTGTGCCCTAAAGTTCAAAGTGGGGAAGCAGCCTTGACAATTCTCATGAATTTTTAAGCCAGTTTCACGACTCTTTGGGGCTGACTCCTGAGTTTTGAACTCTGGGCGCTGACAACCCACAGACTTTACATTTTAATTGTGTAGGCATGAAGCCTATGGGACAAGGGAGGGAGTGGAGGGAGCGGGCACTGACTGAGCAGGGCTTTACTGCATTTACAGACCAGCTGTGGGAAATTCGGGAACACTGGGGGATAATCTGGCTACGCTTTGCACTGGGGCCAATATTTGGGAGCTCGGCCCATTGGGAACCGCCTGGTCGCTGCTGGGTCACCCCGAGGACCGCTTCTCTTTGCCATGGCTGAGCAGAGGCCCTGGACCAAACCCACATTTTAGAAGAAAGTGATTACACAGTTGTGACCTATTGCAGCTTGCTGGGCCGGGGAGCCTGAGTACAAGGTCCCTTATATTCGTGATCCCCTTTTAAAAGAACTGAAGTGCAAGAAGCAGCTGTATTCTCAGAGGGAAACCAGGCTACCTGATCCAGTTGAATCCTACACACAGAGTAAAGTAGCAATTCCAACCCACTGACAGCTACGGGGTGAGAACTACCAATTACAGCCAGAAAGACAGGGCGACTCGGCCGTCTGGCCGGTTAGCAGTGCTGAGTGGTGGTGTGCGGGAGAGCTGAGCAGATGGATGGCAGCTGTTTCAGTCACTAGGCGAACAGCTCTGGAGCGACAGTTTCCATCTGCCTTGGCACTCTGATGAGGCCTCTCTGATCCGGCATCAAAGCCGAATGTCGTGGCAGCAGAGCTCCCTGGACAGCCTGGACCTAGGTTCTCCTTGGGACTTCCTGACCCACTAGCTACATCACCCACTCCTGGCTCATCGTGAGGATGGATGTGGTTGGGGACGGTGATTCGTGCAGCTTAGGGCAGCAGTGGTAGAAATTGTTAAGCTGTAAAGTTAACACAAGTTTCCCTTATTTTTTCCCTAATAAAGTTCTCTGGTTAAAACCCCCCGTCCCTGTACTTGCAAGGGGGGAATAAACCGCCTACCCAGGCTGCACAGTGTGTGTGTGGGTGGGGGGGGGCGTTTCCCCAGGTTATCGGTGGGGGCTCGAGACATGGTTATTTAAGGTTTAGAAAAAGCCCTAGAGAGTCTGCTGCCAACACCCCTGGCAGAAGGGTTGCAATTGCAACTGTCTGAAAGGCAAGAAAGCGGAACATTTCCCTAAGTCTCCGGGTAGCCGACGCTGCCAGCGAATTTCAGTTCTGGAGGCCAAGGGCAAACCTCATTCCAAGCATGCTTCTCACTCGTCTTGTTCCACCAAAGCAAATGCCGTCGGCTCTGTTTGCAGAGACCTGCAGAGCAGCACAGGGTCAGTGCCCTGTAGGTAGCCCATGCTGAAAAAGGTTTCCACTGAGGACTCTAAATTAGGCCACCAGGAACGTTTCCTTTGCTGTCAGTTTCATTTCCCAGAACTCTTAAAGTCCTTCATTATTTATCCTCTGCAAAAGAAAGCTCTTGGGTAGACCTGCTTTTCGCCCAGGGAGCCATTAAATCAGGCAGCCTGACTTTCCAGCCCTGCTGTGGATGGAAGAGTCCAGCACCATGGCCTGGGATAAAGCCTGGCAGACATTTTTCAGTCTTGTTAAAAAGGTAGGGAACTTCTGTGCTAGTGTAAATGTTACCCTGTGCTATTAATTAACCTCAGAAGAAAATACATTTTCAGCTATTCAAGGACGCTTAGACATGCATACCAAAATTTGTTACTGTACTGTACTCAGGAAAATAGCAGCATGACAATGAAACCTGCTCTCTCAGCTGATCTGTTTCTGACGGCAAACTCCCTGGGGCAGGGTCTGTGTCTCCGGTGATTTGAAAGTGTTTAGCACACGAGATGGACACTACTGGGATCTGAGTGACAGACAATAATGCTCTGCCTCTGCGGTGTCTAGCTCTGCTCGCTTTGGGTGAAATTCACCCCTGCGTAGAGGGGCCAGGGTTGAAGTGCCGTAGGGGGTATGCAGGTAAGGTCGATTTTTAATGGAGTTAATACAGGTTCCCAGCCAAATGCATCTGGGTTTGCAAAGCAGAAATAATTCCTGAGCATTGCATTTGGAACAGTGGTTCAGAGACAGATCATTTTGTCAGACACCTGCTGCGAATCCACTGCGGGGAAGAGAGGGCAGATTGGATTATCCGGCCGGTGAACGGCAGACATTTCCCCGGCTGTCTGGCGTTGCGGAGCATTAGGTTGTATTTCATTGTTTCTCGCCCGCCGGAGAGGAAGAGCTGTAGGGAAGGCTGCGGTGGCGTGAAGCAGCTGGGGGCAAAACACTTCAGTCTTTGGGGCTAGGCCCATATTTCAGCACCAAAATAAAAGTGCGCTGGGTGCTGATCCTCCGGGGCTGTGACTGACTCCAGCTGAAGCGATTAGGAGGCCTGGCTGTCCAGGCACTGGGCTAGCGCTCTAGACACTGGCTAGTTCAGCAAGTCACTTCCTCTCCCTGGACCCCACCGTTCTCCCCCACCAAAATCTGTTGAATGGGGTTAATAACACTTGTCTATTTAGACTGTCAGCTGCCTGGGCGGGGACTGCGTCCCACTGGTACCTTGTGTCCCCCCTCCACCTGTTCTCCCTCATTGCTCACTTACATTTTAAGCCCTTTGGGTCAAATACTTTCTTTTCATTGTGTGTGTATCCAGCGCCCAGGCCAGGAAGGTTCTGATCCTGAGCGTGACGGGGCCCCAATCTCGGTTACTCTGTGTCTGTGCAACGCCCGGCGTGACGGGGCCTTGATTGCGGTTGTTCTGTGTATGTGCCGAGACCTCAGGACAGAGGCACTGCCACCATAACTTAGATAAAGAATTCCTCGTCTGACCCCATCTTTCTCTGACAGGGCCGGCTCTAGGTTTTTTTGCCGCCTCAAGCAAAAAAAATTTTGGCTGCCCCCCGTCCCAGGCCTGGGCTCCTCGCCGCACCCCCCTGCTGCCCCAGCCCTGGGCT